CTCACCTGATATAAGCTTCAGAGGACACGGTTTTAGCATTTGTTTTCTTTGCAACTGCCTAATCTTTCCTTCTTTATTGTTGTTTATTTTCCACTTTAGTATTGCTGAAGCTTAGAACTTGAGGAATCCAGCTATTTCATCAACACTATCTAAAGGGGAAGTTAATTAGCAGTGCCTCACAGCTAGCTGTTGGCTAGCAGAATTGATCAGAACCTAGACCCATGGACTCCTACTTCAGCCTCTCCCCCACCATACCACAGTGCTGTCTTTCCATGTGTCCACCAGCCAGCCATGTCTACCCAGAGAAGAGGTTGTCATGTGCCCTCTTTCAAGAGTACACCTAATTTGTTTGTGAGTGATTAAGAGAACACTAATGTCTTGTGAAGTATTCTAAGACAGAGTTTAAGAATTGTTTCTCTTGGGGCTGGAGAGATGGCTTAGCGGTTAAGAGCATTGACTGCTCTTGCAGATGACCGAGGTTTGATTCCCAGTACCCACTTGGTGGCTAACAACCATCCGTAACTCCAGTTCTGGGGAAATCTGATGCCTTCTTCTGACCTCCGAGGGCATTGCACAACATGGGTGCACTTACACACATGCAGGCAATACACTCGTACACATAAAATAAAAAAATAAAATATTAAAAAAAATAATTGGTTCTCAGACTGGTCTGTAACTCAGTGGCTGTGTACTTGACTAGCACTCCTTAGGCCCTGGACATGCTTGCCAGAAAATAAAACAAACCAAAACCAAGAAACAAATGTTTGTTACTAGGTATGGTGATGCGTGCCTATATTCCAGTCCTTAAGAGACTGAGGCAGGTGGGTCCTGAGTTCAAGGCCAGCACTGGCTACACTACTAATTCAAGATCAGCCTGGAATACAGAGCAAGACCCTGTCTCCAGAGAGAGAGAGAGAGAGAGAGAGAGAGAGAGAGAGAGAGAGAGAGAGAGAGAAAGAGGAAAAGAGTAATTTCTGTAATCGCCGGCCTCTGTGGCGGGGAGCCTGTGACCTTTTCCTTTGTTCTTTTCAGCTTTAAATCTCTGATGTAGTTTTTCTGGGTGTTAGAACAAGAAAAGTAATAATATAAACCACACTGCTACCTAATACTTACAGCTCAATACTTTTACATTTAGAGTTTTTATTATAATGGAACACACAGTAAACACCAACATATTCCTATCACATATCCTGGGTATCTGCCACCCAAAAGACTCCCCAGTACCTTCTCAGTGAGAACCTTCTTTCTCCAGCATAAACACTGCTGACTGCTGTCACTCAAGAGTAGTATTGCCTGTTCTGACCTTCATACATTTGGAGTTGTGCCCTTTGTTACATCACTGCTATCTTCTTTCTTTATTCATGCTGTATAGTGTACCTGTTGTAACTCCATCACAGTATCCATCTAGTCTCCCGATGATGGCCATTTGATTTGTTTGGAAACGCTGGCATTTGCAAATGAATATATGGCCGATATTCTTGTATACACTGCTTGGTGAACATACATTGAATATAATACTATAATTAAAGTATTATGTTTACACTTACACAAACATTTTCACCTACTTTATTTCCTCTGAGGCTAACTGCAGCCCCATGAGATAGACAGGCTATATGAGGGTAATTAGCTATGACATGGTTAGCTAGCTTGCCCAGGATTCCTAAGAAATGAACAGAGCTAAAGGGTATGGCTGTGTTCTCTGCACTAGGCTTCAGGACTTCTCTGCTGCACTGTTACCTTCATTGAATAAAATAAGCTGTATATGGCTTTAATGCAGCCCCAGTTTATGTGTTCATCTTGATTTTGGTTTTTTGTTTTGGTCTTTTTTTTTTTTTTTTTTTTTTTTTTTGTGTAATCTTGGCCTTAAACTTGCTATGTAGTGGAGGATGATCTTGAACTCCCAAGCCTCATTTCTTCACCTCCTGACTGTACCATATATGACTTTGATTTTTTTTGTCTTGATTTTTTTTGTTATTGCATTGTTGGGGATTAAACCTAGAGCCTTGCACATGCTAGGCAAGCCCTCTATCACTGCTGCCACAACCTGATGCTTTTGTATAATCTTCATCACCTAATGGTATTGGAATCAGCCAGAAGCCTTGGGTTTTTGTTTTGTGACAAGGTCTAACTCTGAAGTCTAGGATGGCCCAGAACTCTCTGTTTAGACCAGGCTGACCTTGAACTCATGGCAGTCCACCTGCCTCAGCCTCCAAGTGCTGGGATTACATGCATGAGCAACCACACCGTGCCATGTGTTTTTAATTTAAATGTTGGTAAGGCTTGGAGCACAAGTTGATTGTTAGCTTTTATTCTTAATGGAAGGATACGACTGGAAGTTCTATGCAGAGGTTATTGATTGCATTTCTCTGAATGTGGCCAGCATTGTATCTCAGTGTGTTTAGGAGGTAGTTGTTTATTCATTTCATAAAGATCTCTAGGTAAGGAGGTTCTTTGTAGTAATCCCAAGAAAACGATGGTGGTTTGGGGAAGGGGAAGTGTGTCACCCAAGGGTCCATTCTGTTTATTCTCTATTTCAGCATATTGCAAGGAAAAGAACAGGACAAAAGATTCAGAAGTGACTATTACCCCTTTCTGCTGTGTTCAGAGACTGTTCCTTTTATTGAGAAAGCAGGCCAGTCCTTGAACGCTTTATCTCTAGCTTCTCTGTCACTGCACAGCCTAGAAATTACTTGCTGTTAAAAACTGATGAGGAGTGCTATGCCTAAGAGATCAGCCTCGCCCGGGGCTTTGGGAAGGCTAATGGATGGCAGCCCAGCTTTCAGCCATAATTTGCTTAGGAAGAAATGTGAAACAGATCTGTCAGTAAAATCAGCTGCAGATGTTTAACACTTGATAGAAATGAAGGGTTTTGTTTGGTTTTTGGTTTGGTGGTGGTTTGGCGGCTGCTGCTGCTCCTCTCTTCCTAGGAATTTGGCCTCATCTCAGAGATGTACCATTTGTGTTTAATTATATATACCATGGCCATACTGTGCAGACGGTCCTGTCTTAATTTATCCTTTAATTGCAATATGAAGAGGCTTTGCAGGAGGGGAGGGAATGGGAATTGGAGCTTTTAGGGGATGAATGCCAAGGAACATTAGGGTTTTTCTAGATTCATCAATGAGAACCTACCATTTTGCTAAGGCACAAGGTGCAGTGGCTATTGCCACTGTGAGCCCATGTAGTTTGCCATTTGTTTGGGATGTGCTGGTCATTTGTGGCCCCACAGGAGTTTATAGCAAGAAGCAACTCTGTCTTTTATCTTTTTACCCTAACTGGATATAAGTCTTATCCTTTAACCATATGTTGCTGATATACAGAAAATTGTCTGTGTTGGTTAATGATAATGTAGAAAAGGCAAGGTAGAACACTCTAAAGATTAACTTGAGAACCTAGGGGAGAGCTTATTTTTAACTGTGTGCAAATGAATTACGAATTTCTTCTCCACTTATCTGCATCTTTATTAATATCACCCAGAATAAATACATAGCTTAACGATACAGAAGCTGCATCCTAGTTCTGTTTCGGACTATGCCTCATTGCTAGGTTTTGCTGTCTCTGATAGCATTGATTCCCAGCTCTGCACCGCATCTAGGGTAGGGTCAGCAAAGGACTATGGGAAGATCCAAACACGTTCTTAAAAGATGAATTCCTTAGTCTCTCAGTCAAAATGGAGGTTAACGAACAATGAGGAAAAAAGTCCAGAGAAGTCAGCAAACCAGCACAGCCTCCCTCATGGTGCCAATGAAAGAAGAACGAGTTAGGCAGAAACAGCCTTTACTCCTTGCAGTTCTGAACTGGCGTGTGAGTGTGTGTGCAGGAGCAGAGTGCTTCCGGAGACTTGCTCCTGCAGCCTGATAGACTAACGGGTGACTTTAATTTATGATGTGGTAATGAGGTACTTTTATGCATAGGTCTTAAGTTTCAGAGATCTTGGTCATCCCTGTCATACCATAAAAACAACAGGGTTTTATAGGGGGCACAGTTCTTAGCATTTTTTTCATTTAAGAAAGTGAGAAAAGCATAAGTACACGTTTTTTCCTGTTGGGTGGAGGCCACTCCAGGAGAGCAGAGTTGCACTGGAAGGTTTGCTTATCACATGCAGAATAATAACAAAGAGTTATGCCCCACCTTCTACCATCCCCTTTAAAATACTCCTACAGAAGCTTCAGGAAATGCCCCCACCTGAAGCTACCAAAAGATCACCTTCTGTTTAGGGACAGGTAGGCACTGGTAGGCCCAGCTCTTAGATGCAATTGTTACATGCCCTGAAATTTGAAAAGATTGCCTGCTATTATATCTTGGAGGGGCAGGTTGGAAAAAGAGCATTTCCAGGGCCACTCAGTACTTTTTAAAAATCCGAGTGTCATTCCTCGATCCTTACAGACTTTTCTGTCTCCGCTTTTAGAAGCTCCAGGTCTTTGTAGACTGATGCTGCAGAATTTTCTCATCTGCCTGTTTTCACATAACTCAAATACAAAGGGAAGGATTTCCATAAAAAATTAAGTAGCTCCTCGGCTCTCCTTTTGTTCTCTGTTCCTCTTTTGTCCTCAGTTGGGTTCAGGAATAGATGACTGTAATCTTGCTTAGTTGCTCTACTCCTTCCAAAAGAGACCAAAACGTACTGGTTTGGGGGTGTTTTTTTCTTAACCTTAATATGCCAGCATACTCTGTGGAAGAAGAAATGGAAGATCATGTATGCACACGCTGATGTGCTACTCCCCCCCCCCCAGAGATACCTTTTAGACAAGCGCTGATACTTCCACCCTCTTCACAAGAACTTTCTCTGATGATTAGTTAGTGTCGACTATTGAACCTCAAAACTAGCCCTGCTGTCCAGAGACAAAGAAGAAAATGCCAAACTCTGTTTTGGAGGCCTTGCAGTGGGGCTAGGCTAAGCAAGCCTTAGGTCTGCCTGTGACAGTGGGAACAGACTGTTCTTTTTATCAAAAAAGGCAAAAAATGTCATTTTACTATCGTAACTGACTTTCTATTTATAGTTTCTGGTCCCCAAAGACAAACCAAATGAAGATGCAGCAGTACTTGAAGAAGGTGGTGATGTGGACGATTTAGTAAGTGCTTTAATGATACCAAGTGTTTGAAGTCTGAATTTTCTGAGCTATAAATACAACCACAAAAGCCACTTATTATAGCATTTTTACTTGTGTGTTCATTTCTAACACACCGAACACTCCCTACACTCTTACTTACTACCATTGTAAATTTAATCAGGTGGGTATTTCATTATGAGAATTTCTGTGTTCTTGGTTTCAGTTATATTGTTCATTCAGATTAATCTTCTCTTTTGAAGAGCTAAAAAGAACCAGGGAGGCTATTCCTTTAGTAGCAAAATGTTATAATTTACCGAAATTGTTCTTAACCCAAAATAAGCAGTATAACATGCAATTTGTGTGGGTTGACAAATAAAAACAACCTTTAAAAAGCCTACTTCTTCAGTGTTCTCAATGAACTTCATATAAGCAAAGCAGACTGATAGGCATTTGAAGATTTCTGGACCTCATTATACCATGCTGTGGGTGTATCCATCCTTCAAGTTTGGAACAAATCTTGCCTTTAAGCCTCACGTGAAACTTAGCAACAACTGTAGACTATGCTATCAGCCTTTTGTTGGAGAGGCTCTTAGTATTGAAATGAGGAAATATTTGGTGTTTAACTCCTAAAATACTTGGCAGAGAATACCTGTAGAGATCTGTGCATGCCCACAATGGACATTCATTAAGCTCTTTCAGCGGAGCAGCAGGTCTGAAGTTGGCCTGGTTCCTTTATAAATATGTTGTTCTTGTTTACAGCTGGACATGATATGACTGTGGACATGTGGGGAATCCAAGAGGACCATCCCCATGGTGCTGAGCGATGAATACAGCATCATGGAGGCCATTCAGGGGAACCTGAAGCTTTGGAAACCATCCTAGCAAGTAATGAGAGCAAATCATCCCATGTCTCGGTGGAGTGACCACGTGCATATATGTTATAAGGAATAATTTAGACCCCATCCAAGTTTATAAAGAATCTTTTTTTTCTGATTGGCATATTATGTCTTGTGTGGTCTTATTCTTTTACACACTTGAATTGAAGTTTTCTGTAAAGAAGACTTCATCCTGCCCTGATGTATTGATGAGCCATGACATGGCACTGGTGTGGTTCTCAGCTGTGCCCAGGAATCATTTTCTGGGTCTACCAGCAGCGATCGCTGAGAGAATGGTAATATTTATTTATTTATTTTTTACCAAGTAGCCAAGTTAGGAAAATCATTGGTAAGGACTGACCCAATTCTCTTTTTCCTAAGTATTTTCATAACTTTAGCTTTTGTATTCTGGTCGTTTTCCTTCGGTGGGGTGGAAAGGAGAACATAGTTTCCCTGAGTAAGCATTTTAGCTTGGGAGTAATGGTGCCCTCATGAAGAGAATGCCTTCTTTTGGCCCAACCTTTGCCATATCAGTGAACCTTGGGTTAAAAAGAAGAGCTGAGAAATTCATTACCAGTGGTTAGAATGCTGTCATTCGCACCTTTCCTTATGGGTCTTTCAAATGGGAAGTTTGAGCCAGGTGTGGTGGTACACACCTATAATCCCAGCACTGGGGAGGCAGAGGCTGGCAGGTCTCTGAGTTCAAGGCCAGTTTGGTCTACATAGTGAGTTCCAGGCCAACTGGGGCTACAGGGAGACCTTATCTCAATACAAACAGACAAAAACAAACAACAAAAAAGGAAATTTGGCTACACTAAAATGCTTTTTTCTTAATTTCACAATCTTTTTTTTTTTGGTCCTTTTGAGACGGTCTCCCCCTGGCCCCAGCTGCCTGGAACTCACAGAGATCCACCTGCCTCTGCTTCCCAAGTGCTGGGATTATAGGTGTGTACCACCATGCCTGGCAATTTCACAATCTTATCTCTACCTAAGTAGGCTTTTATATATTTCTGGCTAATGTTTCATTTCCCCAAATAAGGAAATAGCAAAGTGCTTATTTTCTTTTCTCCTGTTCTCCTTTCCCAGGTTCTTATTTTCCTTCCTTGATATCAGCAACTTCTTGGTGCCCAGTCACCATAATCCTCAGCACTCCTGTAAGTGATCATGGATCATGGGTAGGCTTCATTTTGCAGATGTCATACCAACGGTATAAATGGCTCATGCCTCTGTAGATCACTGCTACTTAACTAATTGTCTCTGTGCTGGATAGCTTCAGTTGTCAACTTGACACATCTGGGTAGAGGGAACTTCAATTGGGGAATTTCCTCTATTGAATTGGCCATATCTGTGAGGCATTTTCTTGATTGTTGAGTTATGTGGGAGGACACAGCCCACGGAAGGTGGTGTCACCACTGGGCAGGTGGTTCTGAGTAGTATAAGAAAGCAGGCTGACTGAACAGGGTATGGTGGTGCACACTTTTAATCCTGTCCTGGTCTGCCTAGTGAATTTTAGGCCAGCTGAGGATAGAGGGAGACTCTTGTCTCAAAAACCCCAAACAAACAAACAAACAAGAAAGCAGGCTGAGCATGGGCCTGACAGAGCTAGCCAGTAAGCAGTGTACTCTGTGGTCTCTGCCTTCAGGTTCTTGCCTTGAGTTCCTGCCCTGGCTTCCTTCAGAGATGAACTGTCACTTGGAAGTATAAGATGCAATGAACCTTTTCTTTCCAAGTTCTTTTTTGATCTTTGTTTTATCACACTAATGTGAAAGCCAACTAGAACAGACTCAATTTTTTTTTCAGTACTGTGCTGAAAATTAAAGGCTGTCCATGTATTAACTGAAAATGGTATTCCAAAACAGAATATTATTCATTCTTCAGAGGAGAGAAGGAAGTGGTTTGCTTTGGGCTGTTAAGATCATCCCCTTGCTGGCCATACGCTGCCTGCTGGAATCAGACTTGACATCCAGAAGCCCATTTAAAGCAACCCCACCAAAGAATGCCAAATCAGACTGTCCAACTGCATAGCTGAGCCCAGGAGATGTTTGTGACTTGCTGAGACATTCTTAGAATCAGAGTGAAAAATTTGTTCCCTAAAGTCTGTAATGCACTATTCTTATCAGACCCTCCTGGAAGATGAATCATTTCAATAAGTTCAAACCTATACACACCTCCTTTGGCAGTATGAAGTATACCCTATTGGCAACATCTGTCCTGTTAAACCAGAAAAAGATTTGAGTCACTTTAATCTTATAGATCTTGTGATACTTAAAAAAAAAATGTATATGTATTGTGTCTGTATGTGGATATGTGCATGTGGGTCTAAGTGCCTGCAAAGACCAGAGAGGCCAGGGGAACCCCTGGAGCTGGAGTTGCAGGGCAGTTGTAAGTCTCCCCATTTGAGTGTAGAATGGAAGATGGGTCTTCAGCAAGATCAGTGTGCAAGCTTGTACTCCAACCACCTTGTGGTAAAGCAGGAAGAAATGAGAAAGGACTAAATTACGTTTAATTTCCAAATCCATTTCACATAGGCACAGTAACATGTGCTTGTTGACTGCATGTAGCATATTGTTGTGTTTTAGATTCATTTCCCTGAAATAAAATTTGCAGCTCTACAAAACTCCTACGTTCTCACCTACAGGTTTTCTGCTGACATCTTGCCTGGGAGAACAATAGACTCTGTGCTGTCATCTATCAGCCACAGACTAGTCCTCAGAAGCCCAGGAGTCTCACATGTGGCAGGCAGCCTTGTATGTGCATTGAAAGTAACTGATCCCTGTCTCTGTTACCTTTGGTCTCCCATGTTACTAGAATGTGTTGACTTTGAGAGGAGACAGAAGATAGACTGCTAGTCACACACTTTTCCATCTGCCCTTTGAGAGTACTGCTGCCCCCCTGTTAAGAAGCACATTTTTAAATGGTAGATTTGAATCCTTGACATAAATTTTTTTTTTAAATAAATAATTGTTTTTGGTTACTTACTTAGAAGAACCACTTACTTAGAAGAAGCATTTCATTACAAGAGCATTGACATACTCAATAACAATGCTAGTCACACACTTTTCCATCTGCCCTTTGAGAGTACTGCTGCCCCCCTGTTAAGAAGCACATTTTTAAATGGTAGATTTGAATCCTTGACATAAATTTTTTTTTTAAATAAATAATTGTTTTTGGTTACTTACTTAGAAGAACCACTTACTTAGAAGAAGCATTTCATTACAAGAGCATTGACATACTCAATAACAATTTCCTGAGCTAAGATGCATCTCTTTTAAAATTGGCTGTAAATTTTTAGGTTTACAGTTGAATTAATACAGTTATACAATATTATACTCCATATAATCCCTAACTCATGTCACCATGACTGATCTCTCTGCCTCCACTTCCCAAGTTCTACGATTAAAGGTATGTACCACCATACCTGGCTTCCTTCTCTGCTTTTTTTTTTCATAGTTCATGATTTTATGTACATACTATTTCTTTAGTCATTATTTTTTTAAACTTTTAATAACTACATGATTAGAGGAAGCATTTCACTACAGCTTTAACATATTCGGTAACACACTCCAGAGCAAGAGTCCATCTCTTTCACAAGTGGCTGTAAGTTTCTAGGTTCGCAGTTGAATTAATACAGTTATAAAATATTGAACTCAGTATAAGCCCTGTAAGAGATAAAATTGAATGAGTTTTTTAACCTTTAAAAAAGATCTCCATTTCATTTTAGAACATATTTTTCCTTGCAGA